TCCATATTATAAAAAGTATGTACATGTTTGTTAACAAAACCATTGAACACTTCGCACAAACACAACCCGTCTGTCCTCTATTCTCCACACTTCAAGGGATTCTCCAGGCTATTTCCGGCCCGGTAACGTTGTTATGCCCTGTTCCAACAAGGAAATTAAACACCAGTCGTAATAGGTTCTACAGCCAGGCAACATCACATAGCGTTCTTCGGTTGTGATTGACGGCGTCTCTAATGGGATTACGTCGAAATATGATGTGCCAGTTTGGAGATCGCACATTTGGTGTTATATCAACAATGTTTATGTGCCAGGAATTTGCAGCAACATTTGGTCATGGTTAGAAAGGAAGTACAATAATCTTGAAATGTGGTGAAAATAGAACAGAATCATGCAGAATGTCTGAAGGTAGAGACGTTTGAAGAGTGGATGTCTCCCGTTACAAAAAAACAACAAAAAAAACCAAAAAAAATCGAAAACAAACGTTATTCAGATTTCCTCGCTCAAGGCATTAGCTCCAGGAACATTTAGAAACACATTTTATTCCATAAGTGAAAAACAACTTTCTTAGACAGGTCTTCACTTTTTATTGATATCTTTCGTGGTCTAGGGGTTTTCGACAGAACTCATGTTGAATCGGACATAGACTGAGAAATGCAGAAACAATTCAAACATACATATCGGGTCATTTATGGATTTCCTGTTTATAGGATGTGTAAAAGGAAAAAAGTCAAATGAAGCTGGCACTGTGGGTTCTGCTTAAGGTGGCTATCGAGAGAAATGTTACTACTGTGGTAGTATTGTAATAGGTAGACACAGTTTGGCCCTACTATTGTGACACATGTACAGCTAATGCAACTGTTCCCCTTCCAATGTCTTACAATGTAGACTTTCTTGCATAATATGGCTGCATTAGTCTACGATTTCATTGTTCCATGTTTGCATTACTATATGATTGCATTATTCTACGATTGCATTGTTCTATGTTTGCATTACTATATGATTGCATCATTCTACGATTTCATTGTTCTATGTTTGCATTACAAAATGTTTGCACTATTCTACGATTGCATTGTTCTATGTTTGCATTACTATATGATTGCATTATTCTACGATTGCATTGTTCTATGTTTGCATTACAAAATGATTGCATTATTCTACGATTGCATTGTTCTATGTTTGCATTACAAATTGATTGCATTATTCTACGATTTCATTGTTCTATGTTTGCATTACAAAATGATTGCATTATTGTACGAGTTCATTGTTCTTTGTTTGCATTATTATACATATTGCATTATTAGACATGGCAACAGATGTCCACCATGCCCTAGATTGGGAAGTAATATAGGTACGATTCCTCTTTTATTGATTGTTACTATCGATAGTGTGACGCTGCAACGATATTAACTATTGATATCACACGTCGTCACCGCTGTTATAACCATAGGCGATGTATCGATCGGTAAAACATCAGCCAAAGCCCTATGGCTGATATACAAAAAGGGCTGGCGTTGTTGAAACAAATGTGAATCAGACACCAGATATAACACGTGCGGTGTGTTCTCTGTAAACCACAGTCATGAATTAATAATGATACCCCCGACCCCTGCGTGTTTAAAAACCCTCGCATCTGCCTAAGCTATACCACGAAGCAATCTGACAACACGCAAGAAGACTAAACTCAAAACTAACTAACCACTTGATACAAGCAGGCAACCCGCAAGGAGACAAACCTTAAAAACTTACAAATAGCACTAGTTCATCAGTAGAAGCGGGGAGACTATACAAAGATAACATTATCAACGTTATTCAAACTAACTACCCAGTTGATACAGTCAGATCACACCAGGGAGACGAACCTTAAACACAACATCCCAGTTGATACAGTCAGACCGAACGCAGGGAGACGAACCTTAACGCCCCCTCCCCAAACTCAATACAGATACGTCTCAAACATATATATGTCGGGACATCCTGTTCATAGGATGTGTCAAAGGAACATCAAAATGAAGTTGGCACTGTGGGTTCTGTTTGGAGAGGCTTTCGAGAAAAATGTCGTTATGTTGACGCCACAGTAATGGCAATGGTATATATGTAGACATCACAGAGTAATGTCAATGGTATATATGTAGACATCACAGAATAATGTCAATGGTATATATGTAGACATCACAGAATAATGGCAATGGTATATATGTAGACATTACAGAGTAATGGCAATGGTATATATGTAGACATCACAGAGTAATGGCAATGGTATATATGTAGATATTACAGAATAATGGCAATGGTATATATGTAGACATTACAGAGTAATGGCAATGGTATATATGTAGACATCACAGAGTAATGGCAATGGTATATATGTAGAGATCACAGAGTAATGGCAATGGTATATATGTAGACATCACAGACTAATGGCAATGGTATATATGTAGACATCACAGAGTAATGGCAATGGTATATATGTAGACATCACAGAGTAATGACAATGGTATACATGTAGACATTACAGAGTAATGGCAATGGTATATACGTAGACATCACAGAGTAATGGCAATGATATATATGTAGACATCATAGAGTAATGACAATGGTATATATGTAGACATCACAGAGTAATGACAATGGTATACATGTAGACATCACAGAGTAATGACAATGGTATATATGTAGACATCACAGAGTAATGACAATGGCATACATGTAGACATCATAGAGTAATGGCAATGGTATATATGTAGACATCACAGAGTAATGACAATGGTATGTATGTAGATATCACAGAGTAATGACAATGGTATATATGTAGACGTTCCGAGCAGTAGTTATCAGGAAATAACAGAATAACAGGAAGCGGATTAATAGTTTTCAAAATGGTAGAATGGTAGACATGTGGAGGACATTTTCCAAGACGACATGTGAACAATTGACTTGCCTTTGCATGTGTTTGTGATGGGCGCATACGATGGTACAGGACACGTTGGTATCTCACTGTTTGATAGTGATTCTTAAACACATGCTCATCATATACTCGCAATTGTACCATGGACTCTGGACTTTCTTGTGATTATAGAAAGAGTTACGTCGCCGTTATTTACATATTTATATTCATTGCAGACACTCGATGACTTTGTGGCATAGACGTTAAAAATTGAGTCATGTTGTGTTCAAAGCGAAAAAAATAAAAACTGTTCCAGTGGACCTTGTTCTCGATTTACTGACAATGAGTTACAGCTTCTCAGTCATCACGCCACAGAAATATAATCGGGTGGTCCTTAAGGTATTTTGAGTAATATACAACTACTATTCAATGGACGTCGGTATGATTGTTTCTTTCTGCGATGTTCCCTGTGGAACGAAGCTATTGATAGACGAGTTCAGTATATGTGTGCCTTCCTTCCAAATATGATTCTGTATGGATGTTTCCATGGACTTCAATTGGCCGCGTGTCCGCACCAACTGCTGGAATAGTCCCAGGATGACGTTAGTATTCAATTGACTGACTGCTGAACAAGCGTACAAGCCGTGGATGTTCAAAGTCAAATCATATGTAAACTGTTTTATTTCACTCCCGTGTACAATACCAACATCCTGGTGGATTAAAGCGTTCGCTGTTCACGCCGAAGGGAGTCACCAGGACATATGACGCGAGGGATTCGCTAGGACATATGACGTGAGGGAGTCGCTAGGAGTGAGTGAGTGAGTGAGTTGGGTCTAACGCCGCTTTTAACAGTATTCCAGTTATATCACGGCGTGTCAGCTTAATGTGGGAGGAAAGCCCGAAGTGATGCAGGTCTAAGACGTTTACCACTTCGGTGAAACCCACGAGCACGGGCATGGTGCTGACAAACCTAGAAAAATAATCGGGGCCAACCGGGATTTGAACCAACAATCATAGGTTTCTGGCGTGCCCACGGGATGCAACTCTGCACAGCGAATCGCGGCGCCTTAGACGACTGGGCCACCCGTGTCCCCCGAGTAGCTAGGATATATGACGTGAGGGCGTCGCTGGGACATATGATGCGAGGGAGTCGCTAGGACATATGACGTGAGGGATTCGCTGGGACATATGACGCGAGGGCGTCGCTGGGACATATGACGTGAGGGAGTTTTGGGGACATGTGACGTGAGGGAGTTTTTGGGACATATGACGTGAGGGAGTTGCTAGGACATATGACGTAAGGGAGTCGCTGGGACATATGACGCGAGGGAGTCGCTAGGACATATGACGTGAGGGAGTCGCTGGGACATATGACGCGAGGGAATCGCTAGGACATATGACGTGAGGGATTCGCTGGGACATATGACGTGAGGGCGTCGCTGGGACATATGATGCGAGGGAGTCGCTAGGACATATGACGTGAGGGATTCGCTGGGACATATGACGTGAGGGAGTCGCTAGGACATATGACGTGAGGGAGTCGCTGGGACATATGACGTGAGGGAGTCGCTAGGACATATGACGCGAGGGAATCGCTAGGACATATGACGCGAGGGAATCGCTAGGACATATGACGTGAGTGAGTCACTAGGACATATGACGTGAGGGAGTCGCTAGGACATATGACGCGAGGGAGTCGCTAGGACATATGACGCGAGGGAATCGCTAGGACATATGACGTGAGTGAGTCACTAGGACATATGACGCGAGGGAGTCGCTAGTACATATGACGTGAGGGAGTCGCTAGGACATATGACGCGAGGGAATCGCTAGGACATATGACGTGAGGGAGTCACTGGGACATATGACGTGATGGAGGTTTTGGGACATATGACGCGAGTTAGTCGCTAGGACATATGATGTGAGGGAGTTTTGGGGACATATGACGTGAGGGAGTCGCTAGGACATATGACGTGAGGGATTCGGTGGGACATGTTATCAAATTATCACATTGGTTGTATGAAAATACATATAACACCACCTGTGTTAAAACGACAGTTTTGTTGTTGGCGACATTCCTGAATAAGGTTCTGCATTCATTTGGTTACATGCGCATGTCAGGACCTAAAATAGAAAAAAATAAACACCTGTTTCCATTCACACAGTGGCTGTTAAACATGTTTGTGTCATATCAGGCGAACATGGCGTCCATGACCTTCGGATTTCTCTGTGCGGCGGTCGTTGTCGTGTCCGGTAAGTGGAATGAAGACGGATCACGTAGTCTGGAACGCTTTTGGAGAATTTGAACATTCTGCATCGCAAGTGTTATGTGTTAGAAGTAGAGTTAGGTACTGTTTCAAAACACGAAACTATAAGGTAGTTGGTACAAAGGTGATGTTTCAAAATGTACTGCTCAACGTGTGATAGGGACATTCGTAGTGTCTAGGAGGGGACTGGGTGTCACTGATTGCTGAGAGATGTTGCAACGGGAATAGTATCCAATATTGCCAACGTACTTGTGTAGCTTCATTTTAAGTGAATTAATCACAAGTTCACAATTCAATACCCCGCTCTCTTCTAGTTCGTAACAGTTTGAAATGGCTCCCTTTCTTTATTCCTCGTCAGTCTCCCAGACCCGAGACAATAAGCACCACGTCTGTCTTCCAGACCCGAGACAATAAGCACCTCGGCAGTCTCCCAGACCCGAGACAATAAGCACCTCGGCAGTCTCCCAGACCCGAGACAATAAGCACCTCGTCAGTCTCCCAGACCCGAGACAATAAGCACCTCGTCAGTCTCCCAGACCCGAGACAATAAGCACCTCGGCAGTTTCCCAGACCCGAGACAATAAGCACCTCGTCAGTCTCCCAGGCCCGAGACAATAAGCACCTCGTCAGTCTCCCAGATCCGAGACAATAAGCAACTCGTCAGTCTCCCAGACCCTAGACAATGAGCACCTCGTCAGTCTTCCAGACCCGAGACAATAAGCACCTCGTCAGTCTCCCAGACCCGAGGCAATAAGCACCTGGTCAGTCTCCCAGACCCGAGACAATTAGCACCTCGTCAGTCTCCCAGACCCGAGACAATAAGCACCTCGTCAGTCTCCCAAACCCGAGAAAATAAGCACCTAGTCAGTCTAATCGGCCCAGACCCGAGACAATGAACACCTCGTCAGTCTCCCAGACCCGAGACAATAAGCACCTCGGCAGTCTCCCAGACCCGAGACAATAAGCACCTCGGCAGTCTCCCAGACCCGAGACAATAAGCACCTCGTCAGTCTCCCAGACCCGAGACAATAAGCACCTCGTCAGTCTCCCAGACCCGAGACAATAAGCACCTCGGCAGTTTCCCAGACCCGAGACAATAAGCACCTCGTCAGTCTCCCAGGCCCGAGACAATAAGCACCTCGTCAGTCTCCCAGATCCGAGACAATAAGCAACTCGTCAGTCTCCCAGACCCTAGACAATGAGCACCTCGTCAGTCTTCCAGACCCGAGACAATAAGCACCTCGTCAGTCTCCCAGACCCGAGGCAATAAGCACCTGGTCAGTCTCCCAGACCCGAGACAATTAGCACCTCGTCAGTCTCCCAGACCCGAGACAATAAGCACCTCGTCAGTCTCCCAAACCCGAGAAAATAAGCACCTAGTCAGTCTAATCGGCCCAGACCCGAGACAATGAACACCTCGTCAGTCTCCCAGACCCGAGACAATAAGCACCTCGTCAGTCTCCCAGACCCGAGACAATAAGCACCTCGGCAGTTTCCCAGACCCGAGACAATAAGCACCTCGTCAGTCTCCCAGGCCCGAGACAATAAGCACCTCGTCAGTCTCCCAGATCCGAGACAATAAGCAACTCGTCAGTCTCCCAGACCCTAGACAATGAGCACCTCGTCAGTCTTCCAGACCCGAGACAATAAGCACCTCGTCAGTCTCCCAGACCCGAGGCAATAAGCACCTGGTCAGTCTCCCAGACCCGAGACAATTAGCACCTCGTCAGTCTCCCAGACCCGAGACAATAAGCACCTAGTCAGTCTCCCAAACCCGAGAAAATAAGCACCTAGTCAGTCTAATCGGCCCAGACCCGAGACAATGAACACCTCGTCAGTCTCCCAGACCCGAGACAATAAGCACCTCGGCAGTATCCCAGACCCGAGACAATAAGCACCTAGTCAGTCTCCCAGACCCGAGACAATAAGCACCTCGTCAGTCTCCCAGACCCGAGACAATAAGCACCTCGTCAGTCTCCCAGACCCGAGACAACAAGCACCTGGTCATTCTCCCAGACCCGAGACAATAAGCACCTAGTCAGTCTCCCAGACCCGAGACAATAAGCACCTCGGCAGTCTCCCAGACCCGAGACAATAAGCACCTCGTCAGTCTCCCAGACCCGAGACAATAAGCACCTAGTCAGTCTCCCAGACCCGAGACAATAAGCACCTCGTCAGTCTCCCAGACCCGAGACAATAAGCACCACGTCTGTCTTCCAGACCCGAGACAATAAGCACCTCGGCAGTCTCCCAGACCCGAGACAATAAGCACCTCGGCAGTCTCCCAGACCCGAGACAATAAGCACCTCGTCAGTCTCCCAGACCCGAGACAATAAGCACCTCGTCAGTCTCCCAGACCCGAGACAATAAGCACCTAGTCAGTCTCCCAGACCCGAGACAATAAGCACCTCGTCAGTCTCCCAGACCCGAGACAATAAGCACCTCGGCAGTTTCCCAGACCCGAGACAATAAGCACCTCGTCAGTCTCCCAGGCCCGAGACAATAAGCACCTAGTCAGTCTCCCAGACCCGAGACAATAAGCACCTCGTCAGTCTCCCAGATCCGAGACAATAAGCAACTCGTCAGTCTCCCAGACCCTAGACAATGAGCACCTCGTCAGTCTTCCAGACCCGAGACAATAAGCACCTCGTCAGTCTCCCAGACCCGAGGCAATAAGCACCTGGTCAGTCTCCCAGACCCGAGACAATTAGCACCTCGTCAGTCTCCCAGACCCGAGACAATAAGCACCTCGTCAGTCTCCCAAACCCGAGAAAATAAGCACCTAGTCAGTCTCATCGGCCCAGACCCGAGACAATGAACACCTCGTCAGTCTCCCAGACCCGAGACAATAAGCACCTCGGCAGTATCCCAGACCCGAGACAATAAGCACCTAGTCAGTCTCCCAGACCCGAGACAATAAGCACCTCGTCAGTCTCCCAGACCCGAGACAATAAGCACCTCGTCAGTCTCCCAGACCCGAGACAACAAGCACCTGGTCATTCTCCCAGACCCGAGACAATAAGCACCTAGTCAGTCTCCCAGATCCGAGACAATAAGCACCTAGTCAGTCTCCCAGACCCGAGACAATAAGCACCTCGTCAGTCTCCCAGACCCGAGACAATAAGCACCTCGTCAGTCTCCCAGACCCCAGACAATAAGCACCTAGTCAGTCTCCCAGACCCCAGACAATAAGCACCTAGTCAGTCTCCCAAACTCCAGACAATAGATTAAGAAGGAATTCAAGTCTAGAATGATTTGGCAAGTCTAGATTGCCTCAGCTCTCCTCTAATGAATCATTGATCTGGATTCAATTTGGATTTTTATTTTGCAGATATATATCTTTTAAAAATATAATTTTATTTCTGGGACAAAAGTTAGCGCCTTGCTCGTGGATTTCATCAAAGTTTAAAACGTCTAAACCTGCATCACTTCGGGCTTTTCTCCCACATGAAACTTGTAGTTGCCCTGCGTGGCGTTTAACATTAAAGGAATAATACTGGTCGGAGTAGGGTGTTTTTTCAGTAGGGTACTTGTGTTAAACTGAGGCATGGTATCTTCGTGATCTGGAGCTAGCACACACGTCGTTAAACCCCATTGTTACCTCACGTTTAATCCCAATCCGATTTATATCCGAATGATGTGACTGAGGAGAGGAGTGAGTAAGCGAGTGGGTAGGATTTTATGCCGCATTTAGCAATATTACAGCAATATCACGTCGGGGGACACCAGAAATGGGCTTCTCTCTGTGGGGAATCGAACCCAGGCCTTTGGCGTGACGAGCGAACGCTTAAACCACTAGATTCCTCCGCCGCCCCTCACATAACAGAAAGTACATTTAGTAAATATCCTTGATCGAATGGAACTATGTGATAAATAAGAGGTATATAACTTCATCATTCTATTCATACGCGTTATGTCTAAAGGTTTATTATCGACTAATTATTTCCTTTTATTAATTACAACAGTATCGGCGGACTGTCTGAACGGCTGGACTCACTTTAGCAACTCCTGCTACAGACTCTTCAGAGATAAGAAGTCATGGCCGGACGCAGTGGTACGTAGGTGTGTCGATACACTCAAAATGACAATCACAAGAAATTATGTTTATTGGTTCCATTGTGTAACATGTCCATTGCGGATTGCTATGCCAAAAGGGAAAAACTCATTGAAATTCAGGATTTCATTTTCAACAGATTATTTGTGATATCACGGTTGTCGGCGATAGGTGTACAGGATCCCGACATCGCCTCAGACCACAGGACAACTCTTGTCCCGACACCGCCTCAGACCACAGACCAACTCTGCCCCGACACCGCCTCAGACCACAGACCAACTCTGCCCCGACACCGCCTCAGACCACAGAACAACTCTGCCCCAAAACCGCCTCAGACCACTGGACAACCCCTGTCCCGACACCGCCTCAGACCACAGAACAACTCTGCCCCGACACCGCCTCAGACCACTTGACAACCCCTGCCCCGACACCGCCTCAGACCACTTGACAACCCCTGCCCCGACACCGCCTCAGACCACTGGACAATCCCTGTCCCGACACCGCCTCAGACCACTGGACAACCCCTGCCCCGACACCGCCTCAGACCACTGGACAACCCCTGCCCCGACACCGCCTCAGACCACTGGACAACCCCTGCCCCGACACCGCCCCAGACCACTTGACAACCCCTGCCCCGACACCTCCCCAGACCACTGGACAACCCCTGCCCCGACACCGCCTCAGACCACTGGACAATCCCTGTCCCGACACCGCCTCAGACCACAGAACAACTCTGCCCCGACACCGCCTCAGACCACTTGACAACCCCTGCCCCGACACCGCCCCAGACCACTGGACAACTCTGCCCCAACACCGCCTCAGACCACAGAACGGAAATAGTGCTGACCATACAATGTACATTTTACTCATTCTTTAACCTGTAACAAAAGCAGTTGCTGAAACTGTAGAATAGTTAGATGTAAATATATCCTCTACAATGCACGATATATATTCAGTTCTCGTCGCATTATTGGATTAAACTTCAGGAAACACTTATGTATACAGTGAAACCCTGTTAATCCGAACTGTAGCTTTCCCCATGAAATCATCCGGATTATCGAATGTTCATGAATACTGTGTTGAAGTATTGTCATGTAAACTAGACTAACATCTAGTCTTTGAAATGAACATACTGTACAGAAAAAAACAGTTGTTCAGTTATCTTATTAAAAATATAATAAAAGGGAGCCAAGAGACGCTCTTCATTTTCAGATACTGCAGTAATCTAGACTTGCCAAACATTAGAGAATTGCAAGGGCTGTATTTGATTTATGTTTGTATCAGGCTCTGTAAGACAGACTACAGGTAAACGTTTCTGAAAGTTCTGGGGGTTCTGGATACACGGGGTCCGGACTAGCAAGGTCTGACTGTACATTGATTCACTTGTCTTCTGTCCATAGTTTGAATGTGAGAAGTACGGTGCATACCTGGCGTCAGTAGAGACTCAGCAAGAGAACGTGGACATCCATGCGCTGGTCAAGGAGTTAAATGTGGGGGGTGAGTTTGAAGCACACCTTGCTCAATGCTAACATAGACATTGCGGGTATACACCAGTCGTCTCGCGTAATCTGGGAGGTTGTTTATTTACACAAAGCGATCTATAAGCTGTGGGGTATGTGAATCGGGTATGGTCTACAAGCTACGACTGTCGTCAGTCTGGAGTGTTGTTATTCTCACATACGCTTTTAGTATGCCATCATTGACAGGCAGCGCCCCGTTTCACAAAGCGATCTTAGGAGTACATCAGCATAGACTTACGACAGTAGTAACATTCATGTCGGAGAGTTCGGATCATGCAGATCGACTTCGTCTTCTCAGTCTGAACGTCTGAACGTTATGCAAGGCGATGGCAACACAGACTTACGGCAGTCGTAGTATAAAGACGCTTTGTGGAACGGCGCCCTGACAAGATTCACGTTATGCTACCATCACACCAAAGTAGTTCTATCCTGTTCTACCCCGTTCTAAACAAAATACTAGAACGGGCTTTGATCACAGTAGAACGCGTAGTTTGGCATAAAATACGATGCTAGTTCGTTCATAAGCAGTCCTCAATACGTTACTCGTTCTTAGCCAGTCTGCAGTCCGTTTGTATCCAGTTCAGATCGAGTAAAAGTGCCCGGTCACCTCATCCCGACAACGTTTGGACGCAGTTCGAGCACGTCCGTAGCCGTTCTCAACCCGTTCTTAACCAGTTCAACCTCGTTCTACCTCGTTCACAATACGTCCAAGCCAGTTCTAACTTATTCTAAACCCGACCAACTCGTTCGCAGTACGTCCTCATCTCGTCCCAAGTGCGTGTGTATTCGTGTCCTGGCCCGTCCTGGCCCGACTCCTATGGATACCGAGCGCGTTGTAGCCAGTCTTCATTAAAGTTCAGGGCTCCGAGCTGTGCACATCATGCCCCCAAAGAGAAGTCGACCCGGTCGTTGTGCACACGTTCTGAAATTTATGTCCGACTGCACCACGTCGTAACACGTCCCTAGTAGGTTCGACGTACGGCAATTCCGTTCGTTACACGTCTTTCCCGTGTTACGTACGTTGTCAATCCGACCAACTGCAGAACGGGATGGACTGGATAAAATTTTGAGCAGACTCAAAGTTCTAGAGCACCCTCCCTGTCCGAGCCCGTCCATGAAGTTCGTAAAAAGACTGTCAATAGTTGCTACTACGTCCACTACGTTCATACACAGTTGGAGCCCGTTCGACGACATTTTCATGAATGTATTGAGAACTAGTTTGGTGTGATGGGGGTATAACAAACACATTTCCAAAAAAAACTGTGTGACGAGTGAGTGAAGTTTTTTCCTCGCATCAGCAATTCTTAAATGTATAGCTACAAATGTTCTACGAGGAACACTTTAGACATGTTTGTCATTATTAAAACATTAAATATTGTCTTTATATATCACCTAAACAGCAATATTATTTTATAAGTTTTAATTGCTTTTAGTGCTTGACCGAGTATGGATCGGCCTGACCGATGTCCGAGAGGAGGGGGTTTGGGTGTGGGAGTCCACCAGACAGAACGCTACTTTCTTCGACTGGGCACCTAGTGAACCCAACCAGAAAGGGACTCAGCAACAAGACTGTGTCGTCCTGTACGGGCAGGAGCACCACCAATGGGCGGATGATCGATGCGAAACTCATTACTACTTCTTTTGTGAAAGGTCGTACGTATTACGATAATGGTTAAAAATGTAAAAGTATGAAGTGACGTAGTTGTTTATATCTTACCATTTAGAATGACAGGGCACCGTTTCACAAAGCGACCACAGAGCCACGACTGTCGTAAGTCTATGTTAAAGTTTGGGAGTAATGGTCGTCTTAGAGCTACGGTCGCTTTAAGGAATGGGGTCTTGGTCAGAATACTTGGTCAGCTTACAGAAGTACCTTAACTGCTCGTCGCAAGAGTCTACTCGGACGAGGTGTTCGGATGTACAATGTACGATGTGTACAGATTTACGGGATGCACGAGGTGTACAGATATACGGATGTGCGAAGCGTGCAGATGTACGGATGTAGGAAGTGTGCATATGTACGGGATGTACAGATGTACGAGGTGTACGGCTGTTCGAGGTGTACGGATGTTTAAGGTGTACGGGTGTTCAAGGTGTACGGGTGTTCGAGGTGTACGGGTGTTCGAGGTGTACGGGTGTCCAAGGTGTACGGGTGTTCAAGGTGTACGGGTGTTCGAGGTGTACGGGTGTTCGAGGTATACGGGTGTTCAAAGTGTACGGGTGTTGAAGGTGTACGGGTGTTGAAGGTGTACGGGTGTTCGAGGTGTACGGGTGTTCAAAGTGTACGGATGTTCGAGGCGTACGGGTGTTCAAGGTGTACGGGTGTTCAAGGTGTACGGATGTTCGAGGTGTACGGGTGTTCAAAGTGTACGGGTGTTCAAAGTGTACGGATGTTCGAGGTGTACGGGTGTTCAAGGTGTACGGGTGTTCGAGGTGTACGGGTACGGGTGTTCAAGGTGTACGGGTGTTCGAGGTGTACGGGTGTTCAAGGTGTACGATGTCTTTGCCTTCACAATGCCTCTCCTGGGCCCCGTTTCGCAAACAAGCCTTAGCTTCGCGGTAATTTTATTAAAAAAAACTTGCGCTGCACGTCTGTGTTAAAGTATTGCAGTTACGACAGTCGTAATGCTAAGATCAATTTGTGTAGAGGTGCAACGTGCGTGTGGCGTTGTGAAGCGTTGATGTTGATGTTTGTGATAACAACCGCTGGTGGGTGGCCCAACCTCGACGTCTTCAGTTACCGTGACGCAAAACAATATATTCACTTACTACCATGCTGGGATCCTGTATTAAAACTGGGAAACGAAAGGGAAACTAGATCATATCAAGTGCATAGTAGAGTGATTCTGCTACTTTGTGTTTCAGAGTTAATACAGCTGCGCCCGTTGTGGGCTGAGGCTAGAAAAGAAGAGCACACAAGTATTTTGTCTGTCAATATTCAATGAATAAATACCACCTGCTTACAAGATATGTATTGTCGGACTGTTATAAATACAATATGCCGATACTACTTATTTGTTTGTTGTTTAACGCAGCACTCAGCTATATTCCGTGCAGGGTTTGCTGAAGACCAATTTTAGCCCGGATCTTCACGGTGTGCCGATACTTCAAGACTTCCTCTAACAGCCTTGAATGCTTCTGCAGCTTTTAATAGTGTCGAATACAATCATAGTTCACATATCAACGCGATGGTGTCTGGTGCGGCTTCAAAAAAGCCACAAAACCCTGTCCAGAATCATAGGAAATTTCTGTTAAAGGCTGAGTTAATTGTACGATTCCGACCATACCATACACATCTAGGCCTAATAAACACAACCAACAGTTGTGAAAGTGTTTTGAATTTTTCAATATAATCTCCCTGCTTTTCAATACACTTCTCATATCGAAAGTGTTTGTTTGTTTGTTTGATGTTTAACGCCGCACTCAGCAATATTCAAGCCATATGACGGCGGTCTTAAATAATCGAGTCTGGACCAGACAATCCAGTAATTGACATCATGAGCAATGGTCCACGCAATTGGAATACGATGACGTACAACAACCAAGTCAGCGAGCCTGACCACCCGATCCCGTTAGTCGCCTCTTACGACAAACATGGTCGCCTTTTACGGCAAGCATGGGTTGCTGAAGACCTATTCTACCCCGGATCTTCACGGGTCCATATCGAGAGTGAAGCTTTTCAATCCCAGTTAGGAAGAAGTTTCTGAAGCCACCCTGAAGAACCCATTCACGGCAACTTTGAGGTCATGGCCATAGTTCAGGCAACAGATGGCCATCACATGGTGCCAGGGTGAGGAAGATCTTCGAACCCACATTGTCGAACAGCAGCCTTTGCAAGTCGAGAGGTATGAAAAGAGGCATTGTTATGAAAAAGTAGAACTCCAACAGTCAGCATTCCTCGACGCTTTTCTTTGATAGAATGGCTCCGGCGATGAATCAAATCAGCATAGCAGGCACCGGTAATCGTCTTTTGACTTTCCAAGTAATCAACAAGGATCACACCCTTTGCATCCGTGAATATAGTAGCCATAACTTTCTTCACTGATCTTGAAGACTTGAATTTATTTGTTGCCGGAGAAGTGGAATGGTGCCATTCCATGGATTGACGTTTTGACTCGGGATAATAGAGGTAGACCCATGTTTCATCATCCGTTACTAATCTCTTTTTTAATTTGTCGAAATCCTCCCTAATTAGCTCTAAATTGTCTCTGGCAATGTCATTTCTTTTTTCCTCAAGATCAGAATTTAGAAACTTTGGCACGCAACGATCAGATATCTTTTTCAACTGTAAATGTTCATGAATAATAGTTTCAGTTGATCCATGGCTTAGACCTGTGTCTTCCTCAACTTCGGCAATGGTAATACGTCTGACAGTATAATTTTTTCTATCTCCTTGATTGAATCTTCTTTGATGGAAATTGAGGGACGTCCAGACCTAGGGTCATCATCAAGGCTTGTTCTCCCAGCCTTAAACATAGCTGTCCAACGTTTAACAGTGGAAAGGCTAGGGCACTTATCCCCATACGCTTGTGAATTTCTTGGGGAGTACTATTCTCTTAATGAACAAACTTGATAACTGCTAAGTACACGTTCTGTTGCATTCCTGTGTCCATTTTTGGACCCCTATAACTTTCAACTGGCTGCCACTTATATACAAACGGCCTCAACAGACCAAATACACTTGCAATGAACTACTCAAACAATGTACTACATTGACTAGTTCACTGTGTTATGGCCGTGGTTGAAAGTTAGTCAGACTTAGAACTTTTCGCACAGGTGACACCTGCCACAAATACATGCAAAGGCAAGTCAGTTGTTCACCTGAAACAAAACACGGTATCGCATGGTCAAATTAGGGAATTGCATTTTGGTCCCTGATTCGTAAAATTAGCAAAGTATTATTGTTCCTGTTGTTGTCCCCGAAAGCGGCTTAAAATTATACTCATTCACTAAAATGAACTAACGTGATTCACAAGGACAAACGAATGCATTATATAAGTTCGTCTGAATCACTGCGTTTTGTACTGAGCCTATTCTTGAAATATTATCTCCAAGGTTTTACAGCCGCAGTAAAAAGCCAAACTCTTTGAACCCTAAATGTCAACAAAAGACAAAAGCCAATACATTGTTTAATACCCCCTGAGACATGCACACTTCATCCGGAGGAAATACAGACTTTTTAATTCTATTGTTACGAGGATTTTCCCAAAGCTAAAGAAATTGAAATAGACCAATCTCCTGAAGAACTAACCATGTTGTTCAAGAAACGTGCTTTTAACTAAATAAGATTAGTTGGCCATTCTGACCATAATACGAACAGGTCAGTAAAGGTCAAGTGAGTTCTACACCACGAGGGTGGAGGTGTCGTGCGGACCTTGTATGTGACTGACATGGCATCACAGTGGTGGCGTACTACCTACTGTGTGAGTGAGTGAGTGAGTTGGATTTAACACCGCATTGAAAACGTCTTTATTACACTCAGTTATATCACGGTGTGTCAGTTTCATATGGGAGTTAGTGTATTCATATGTAATAAAGGCTATAGCCTATTAATATCAGAGGCGATATGGAATAACGTCTCCATTTGTCAGTTAAACTACATATGTTATTCATGAATGAAGACATCCTTGAAACCAGATCCCTGTTCCGCAACTGCATCACAGCAATGCGACATTTTTCATCGACTTATCGTAATATAGAGGAAAGGCGGTTGTGTGGTGATACTCTGGTTCCTATATGTACATCCATTGGTTATACCCGCATAATGGCCAACATATCATCTTGTATTGCCAACAGTGCAGTTTTTATGTTTCATATACAAGACGTAATTAAGAGTGAGTGAGTGAGTTGGGGTTAACGCCGCTTTTAACAGTATTCCAGTTATATCACGGAATGTCAACTTCATGTGGGAGGAAAGCCCGAAGTGATGCAGGTCTCAGACGTTTACCACTTCGGTGAAACCCACGAGCACGGGTATGGTGCTGACAAACACGAGCACGGGTACGGCGCCTTAGACGACCCCACCACCAACCCCCGTAATTAAAAGCGGCAAAACCCTTTCCATATATAAAAAAAACAACCATCTGCTAACAGCACACTCGATTGTACTATTCCGACTTTATCATGAGCCTGTGTCTATGAATAACTATCACATAGTGATGAAACCAGGTGTTCGTCAAACGTCATTGTATCCTGCCCCACCGGTGGCACCGCCACAAACACACGCAAGAGGCAAGTCAATTGTTTACCAGAAAAGGCGAGGGAACATATAGTACAAGTCAAAATAGGGAATTGCATCGGATGAACCAAACCACTACACTTTAACAACAATGGTTAAGCTATGACGTGTACTGAGTGGATGTATATCTTATACCGTGGTAATTTTTGTATAACAGTTTTTCAGTTATATCACGGCGTGTCAGCTTCATTTGAGAGGCAATTCCGAAGTGATAATTTTACATTATGTCCAACGGAAATATGAACAGGACGGTCAACATCTGTGGCCTTGCTAATCGTGGCGTTTGACCGGGTTGGTCAACACGCATGGTCTGTCTGGTCCAGACATAATTACAGACAGCCGCGATACAGCTGGAATCTGTGCCAGGACCACTGATGTTTATCGTTTAAATATTTGATAATTTAAATGACATTGTTGAAGGAATAGAGAGCAATGTGCGCCTTTTAGCTATGGATACATCAATATATGTAACCCGCGAAGATCCGGGTTAGGATAGGTCTTCAGCAACCTATGCTTGTCGTAAGAGGCGACTAACGGGATCGGGTGATCAGGCTCGCCGACTTGGTTGATGCATGTCATCCTTTACCAATTGCGTGGATCGATGCTTATGATATTAATCACTGGATTGTCTTGTCCATACTTGATTATTTACAGACTGTCCTCATATAGATTGAATATTGCTGATTGCGACGTTAAACAACAAAACAATTTTTTTTTAAATATAAAAAATCAACATATGTTATTATGGTAATCCAGTTGCGGCAGCCACATGTATTGATACTGATTTGGTATAATGTCAAACTTGGCCAACGAAAGGAAAGCATACTTCAATCCCGGTAACACTGAATGTATAACATTAGGCCGAATTTATGTATGAACGATACTCTCATTCAAGAAGTAGAAAGCCATAAGTACTTGGGTATTACTCTTTAAAGTGATTCTTCATGAAAAATACACATTGGTGATATTGTCCAAAAGTTAGTCCCATGATTTACCGTTAAAGGAACTTTAACTACTGGTTATCTAGAAAAAAAAACTCTAGACATATTAAATGTCTTTCATACTACCTTTTTTCGACTACTGCTGTCATATTTGGGAAAAATTGCAAGAACCATCTCTGTTATTAGGAAACCTGTATTTGAATGTTCTAAGAACTATTTGCTGTGCTAATCGTGGCACCAGCCATGATAAACCTTATGATGAAATAAATTTCAAATCTCTGAAAAAAAGAAGATATCTTTTCAAATTAAAATGAATGCCGGTACTGCGCCTGAATATCTGTCAGCGATAGATCTAATTTGCAAACAATCAACTCTAGGTCCCAGGGTATGGAAACTCGTTTCTTCCTATTACGATTGAACCTTTAGAGCGCTCCTCTCGGGTTCTTTATTAACGATTGCTCATAAGAGAATTTAACACTTTAACACTTTAATCACAGGCTCTGGCACTACAAATAAATATAAAAACTTAAATTCGGTCAACTTATGCATTGACGCCGCCAGCTCGGCTGCTGCGATTTAAACGCTCATAAATCGACATGCTTCGGACAGATCTGACTGCAAATGTGGTATCATTTTGAAGAGATATGTGTATTTTTACACCAATGGATATAACCTGAACAGAGTTTTATACGACCTAACTTCATGTAGTGACGCATTCAACATGGGCATTCTTACATCAGTCCACTATTTTCTTGTCAAAAGCAAAATATCAGAATGGTCATAATAACATATATAAAATTAATTTTGAACAAAATAGTGAAATTGTGATACTGAATTCCTTTAACTCGGAAACCCCTAGCCCTGCTTACGGTTACACATTAATTTTATGTATTGTACATTAATTTGCTAATATAAATATGGGTTAAACCTTATAGTTGGAATTAAGCCAGCTGCCCCTTAAAACAACACACTATCAAGAAACACGCTTTCAGCCGGCCCGCTCTGTTCCGAGATAACATGATTCAACCCTATGACCCAATTGAAAAGAACGATGGCTTATCCTCAGCGATAAGACTGCTGTGTTCAACGTTACTGTCGTATAATTTCAATCCGAATCTCCTGGCTCTCATGACCCTATATGATGTTGAGTAGTATTTTTTCTGCTACTTCGCTGCTTTGTTTGGCACACTCAGGTAGGATATGTTATGACTTTATGCATCAATCTCTTTTCAAGTAGAGACATTAATTTCACTGTCGTAAATATACTCAACAACAAAAGTTCCTGTGACACCAATATTTTACCGTATTTTTCAAACAAGTAAAGTTTGGTTTCCAATATTGTAGTACATATATGGAATCAAGTCACAAAAACGCACCTACTACAGAAAAGCATGCATTCCATGCAAAAGTTGACTTTTATGCAAGCCACATGCATTTCACTACCCACGAATGGGTATAAAAACATGTGCGTTAACGGGATTCCATATGCATTGTTTAGCATCGTGCTGACAACCACTCAGAAAAACAACAAAATTACGCAATTATTCAACGTTACGAAATGCCACGCCTGTCCGAAAATGAGCGTCTGCGAGCCATTGGTATGCTTGAAGCAGGATTTAGTCAACGTGATGTTGCAAGACAATTTAACGTCCACAGAAACACCATTTGGTGTTTATGGCAACGTTGGCAACAGACTAATTATAATGCAGTCAGAGACCATCCTCGGAGTGGCAGGCCACGCGTAACCCATAATCGACAACTGGATTCGAACAACACACCTACGAAATCGATTTCAACCAGCAACAGTGACTGCAAGAAGCATCCCCGGCCTTCGACGACTATCTTTACAAACCGTATGTCGCCGCCTCAGATGTGCAGGGATTGTTGTTGCCAGAAGACCCGCCAGACAGGAAACCACCGTCAAGCACGTCTACAGTGGTGCAGACAGCGTCTACGCTGGATGGCCATGCAGTGGGGACAAGTTCTATTCACTGACGAGTCTCGTTTTCACCACAGCCACAGCGATGGACGTATTCGAGTGTACCGACGTCGAGGTGAACGTTACGCCAATCATTGTGTCATGGAAGAAGATCGGTTCGGGGGCGGCAGCGTTATGGTATGGGGTGGGATTACAGCAAGACAGAGAACCCGTTTGATAGTGGTAGAAGGAAATCTCAATGGACAGCGCTTCCGCGACGAGATCATCGGCTCTGTTGTTCTACCGTTTTTGCGTCGTCATGGCTCAGGCATTACCTTTCAACATGACAACGCCCAGTCTCATATTGCTCGACTTTTTCAGGATTCTCTTCATCCCATTCCACAAAGGGATCTTAGCATTACGAATATCGTAACTTCATTATTTAACATTGACTTACGTAAGTCGTAGCACTATGATCGCTTCGTGGTGCCGGACCCTGGTCAATACATGATGAACATACATTATCTGTTTTATTTTTTGCACATTGTCCAATGGTCATAGTAAACTGGTTACACAAGAAATGTCTGTACCCCATTTCGTCGTGACAAGGCGAGTGGTTAAAGCCTTCGCTCGTCATGCTGGAGGCTTAGTTCGTATCCCCACATGAGAACAATGTGTGAAGCCAATATCTGGTGTCCCTAGCCGTGATATTATTAAATTCTGCCTAAATCCATACTGACTCATTCATTCGACTTAACAATGTAATGCCTTTTAATGATATGTGACTAATACATTGTTGTATCATTGCAGTAGTGTAGTCACAAATCGAGGCTTAAAAGGTGATATTAATAATTAATACAATGTCATGCTATATGAAATGTATATCCGCCATTTGTTCAAATGTCAACGTCTTCCATTGGCTTGATGAAGTACTCATGGGGTTTGGAACAACAGACAGTGAGTGAGTGAGTTGGGTTTAACGCCGCTTTTAACAGTATTCAAGTTATATCGCGGCGTGACAGCTTAATGTGGGAGGAAAGTCCGAAGTGATGCAGGTGTCAGACGTTTACCACTTCGGTGAAACCCCGAGCAAGGGTATAGTGCTGACAAACCTAGAAACATAATCGGGGCGAACCGGGATTCGAACCCTCAATCATAGGTTTCTGGCGTGCCCAAGGGAGGCAACTCTGCACAGCGAATCGCGGCGCCTTAGACGACTGGGCCACCCGTGCCCCCGGAACAACAGACAGACAACTGAAACATTCAATACACTTCTCTGCTTACAGTTGTCGCCGTATGTCCGGACGGATGGACAAAGTATGACACGTCGTGTTACGCCCTGTATCAAGGCAAGACGGCGTGGATAGAAGCAGGGGTATGGCCTTACACTATACTTATTACTTATTAGTGAAATGGCGGGCAGACAGAAAGTGACTAAAAGAGGGACGGACATTCGAGTCAGTATGAATCTCCTGGTCACATTATGGCTTCCGTTATAAGACTACTGCATGCAGCACAAGAAATACCATTTCTCAAAGTTATCACTGGTCTTGAACATTATTTTAGGGTCTCGTGGTGAGAGTGTGTATTTTTTTAAGTCACAGTAAAGATAAACCCATAAGTACACTGACAACTGTTCACAAGTTACAACCTCGCCATGATATTCTCAAACGTCCCACCTCACTTGTTATTTTATTCATTTATTTGTCATGATATTTTGACAATTGGCCTTGTGTCGTGCGTTCGGGGGAAACCTTGCAACGTTGAACACTTACCATGTTTAGAGTCGCATGGCGAAAGTGTTTATTTATTTAAGTCAGAGTGAAGATTATTTCAGCTCTTAAGTGCACTGCCAACTGTATACAAGTTCCAACCTCCCCATGATATCCCCAAACGTTCGCTACGATATCATTGCATCCCTCACAACTTACTTGTTATTTAATTCATGTTTATTGACAATTTTGAAAATATTTTACCTATTCAGTCGCTTTGTCGTGAGTTCGGGGGGAACCTTGCAACGCTGAACACCACGGACAAAGTGAAGAACGTCAAAGCATTCCTGAATAATGTAAATCGTGAGTATCGGTATTAGAATTGTAAATTGTAATAAATCGTATAGTGGATATTTCATACCTTAGTGTAGGTTTGTGCGGAGTGAGTTGGGCGTGTCAGCTAGGTGGAAAAAGGTGCTGTGATGACCTTGTACAGGTTCTACTACACCAAATCAGAACCAGTTTGGACAGTGCGGTTGGACAGTGCGGTTTTCGTAGGAGCCTTCAGTGCAGATCGAGAGATATCTGCAGGCAGTGATTGGAGGATATTCTCTAAAACAAATATGCCTTTCAAATGTACATCCATCTAGTTATTAAAACTTACCATGTTTTTCTATATTTAGTACTGTCTTTTTCAACATGATGACTTATGCTGAATGTGACAACAGCTATTTTCAAGGAGGTGACATTTGGTGCGAAACTGGGGGTGGTGTGTTTAGCTTCCTGTACTCCGAAAAGGAGCTGGCTAAGCTAGTCATTGTTTATGTTTTTATTGCTGCTCTAAGGCCAAACTGTGCACACACGTACAGGTAATAGCTGTCGAATGCTTAGTTATTTACAAAAAAATATATAACGTTACTATAGAAGTCTATGGGAAAACATTTGGTTGTGTGTAACCTACAAGGCGGACATGTCGACACACTGGTGGCATACTAGCTACTGTGGGAGTGAGTAAGTTGGTTTTAACGCCGATTTGAAGGGGTTTGTGTATAGTGTCGTTGCTTTGAACCCTTTTTCAATTATAAGGGGCGGTGGGTATCCTAATGGTTAAAGTATTCGCTTGTCACGCCGAAGTCCCTCTGTCGATTCCCCACATGGGCACAATGTGTGAAGCCAATTACTGGTATATTCTCAGCATATTGTCCAGCGAGAACGCAGCATTTTACAGTTAAACGATAGCAATGGTATCGTATTTCTGTTGGTGTAATTTGTATCATGGAAATAAACAGCGTCTCGACCTGGGTTAGTTGTCAAACTCTTGGTCGATGGTTACCAGTGTCCCTGCAATAAAGGCTCTACATCCAATAAGACTTAGGTCTTATGTTCGTTCTAATAAGGTCAGTCTGTGACGCCATTACAACCTTAACTTTACTTAAACTAAGTACGTGCCATTAAGCAACAATACAGACACGACGTTATATAATATTCACTCACATATTTACCCATTCATATTTGCATGTCCAGATAAAGCCAGTGCCTGGGTTGGCGGGAGTGACCTGAGGTCAGAAGGGATGTGGGTCTGGGACATTGACCAAGCCAGCTTTACAAACACCGACTGGTATCCAGGGCAACCGGACTCAAAAGCAGGTGAAGAAGACTGTCTCCTGCTTTCTCAGCCAAGTGGCTACCAATGGCACGACGCTCCGTGTACCTACAAAGAAGGCTATGTCTGCGAAAGAAGGTGACGAACTCATAACACTAGTTTAGTTTCTTGGTTTACAGGCTGAAAATGCAGACAAGTAGTCGGAAGAAGGGTAATTTCGCCACTGTTTATATTTGACATATTGCCATCTACAAAGGCTACACGACACATGGCCACGCTAGACATAATATAACACAACGAATCCTCTGGTGACATCGGCAATGTTTGCAGTGCATCATGTGCATTGCCTTGCGGACTCTCCACACTATGGAATACTGTAAGGGACATTCTCGCGATCTCGCATTCTCGCGATCTTGACCTTTGGAAACGTGGTAAATATGCCCAAAACACGAGAATTCGAGATTGCGAGGATGTCCCTTACAGTATTCCATACCACACTGCTTCAATGTTAGGGTTCTCACAACGTCCATGGGCGGATTAGGGCTCATTTGACTTCCGTGACAACCTCAATTAAACTGACTGAATATAGACATACGCCACTCTTACCTCGCCTAGCGGCCGTATGGCAAGCCGTTTTCACATTTATTACGGAATTACAGATATCTTCAATTGTTTTAAAGATATCGGTATTTTATTTAAAGATATCAATAATGTTTTTAAGATATCAAAAAAATAATTAAAGATATCTTAAATTCATTTCTGATATCCATAATATAATTACTGATATCTTTAAATGTTACGGTGATATCAACAAATTAGTTTGAGATATCTCTAAATGTAGTTTACCATCCTACAGTACATAAATATATTAGAAATAAATTCAAGATATCTTGAAATAAGCTATACATATCCACAAATGCATTACAGATATCTTTAATTCAATTAGAGATATCGTTAATTCAATTAGAGATATCTTTAATTCTGACCGTTACTGATATCAAAAGTCCAATTAAAGATATCATTAATAATATTGATGATATCTTTATATCAATTATTGATATCAGTTATCTAATTTAAGTAATATTAATGTAACATCTTTAATAATGGCAACAATTGAAGATATCAATAATTAATTATTGATATCTGTATTTAGTTTCAAGATATCAGGAATTGAATTATTGACATCATAACAAAACATGACATTTTGATATCTTTAAATCATATTTTGATATCAATAATCGAATTTAAGATATCAGCAATTATTTTCAAGATATCAGTAATACGCTTTCACCATATCCTTAATTCATTTCGTGATATCTTAAATTTTATTGCAGATATCTGCAATTATCTGCATTTAAGATATCTTCAATTCGATTCAAGATATCTTCAATTCGATTCAATATATCTTTAAAACAATTGAAGATATCTGTAATTCCGTAATAAATGTGAAAACGGCTTGCCATACGGCCGTGTGTATTCACGGATGATGGAGGAACAGAGTATATACAGAGTATATACAAACCTGTGGAACATACTGTCGGTGAGGGGGCACTGGTGGCCCTGTCGTCTCAGGCACCGCTGACAGTTTGGTCGAAGGTACTCTGGAATAAGTTTCATTAATGTTATTACGAACAGTAGGTTGATTAATGTTGATCAGTGAATCAATACATTATGTTCATACAGTTTCTTTCCTCGAATATCACATTGCTATTGTTCTTATCATCTCTTGCAGGTCGACCAATACCATTTAAAAACAGTTTTAAGGAAAAAGAATAAATTGGTTGCACACTGTCTTGATGATAATGTCACTGTCTGGGTGAGATCAAATTTACCTCCAGTCAGTTTATCACGATGTTTTTACCTTCATGGCCGTTAGACCGCCTCCTTGGTGTAGTGGATAGAACGTCTGTCCTGAGAGCGGAAGATCGGTGGTTCTATCACCGGCCGCGTCATACTAAGAGATGTTAAAAGATGGTGCTTGTTGTTCGAATCTACTGTACCTTTCTGAGGTCATCGATCGAGAAGTCGCACTCCAGGTAAAAGATCATATGCTTACCAATAAACTGGGCGACAGCATGCAATCTGCTTATAAAACAGGCCACAGCACCAAAACTGTCTTGGTCAGAGTCAAGAACGATCTTCCCCATGCAATAGACAACAACAGTGCAAAAATCTGGTACTCGTCGACCTAATAACAGGTTTCGACAGTATAGATCATAACATCCTACTCAACACGCTGCAATATCACCTTGGATTTACAGTGGATTCTCTGGAATATCCGATACCAAGTGGTCAACGTCAGTAGAAACATGTCAGAAAACACGGATCGGTGTTAGGATCTATCCTTTTCACAGTATTTACCCTGCCAGTCGGAGACATCTCACTGCGCGATAACCCACAGTATAATCTACATTAAAGTACAGTTATAACGAACTCAAAGGGGCCACTAGTTTCAGTTCGTTATAACCGTAGTTCGTTATCAGCATAAATACAACATGTATACTGCAAATGGACGTGACCAAAAACAGTTCGTGATACCCGTTAGTTCGTTATAAGCGTTTTGGTTATAAACGTAGTTTACAGTATATGCAGATGCCACACAGCTACACCTGGCCATTGAACCAAAGGGGCCTGTCTGTCCACCAGAAATATCAACGCTATCATGAGTTGCGTGGATAGCATCAGGGAATGGATGGCAACGCACGTCTTGAAACTGAACGAATACAAAACAAAGATATTGGTCATAGGCTCAAAATCCTCGCAACCTCACCTTGTTTTCCCTGACTTCAGCATTGGAGAGAGTATGATCACACCCAGCCAGAGTGCCAGAAACCTGGGCGTCATCAAAGATCCGCTCTCCAGCTTGGATAGGCATATTTTAGCCATATACAAATGTGCATATTACCATATTCACAAAATCGGACAAATGTCAACGGCGAGGCTGTTGATCCATGCTTATATCGTCTCCAGGTTGGGTCACTGCAATTCCCCTCCAAAGAAGGACGAGAGCGATCGGGTAGCCTAGTGGTTAAAGCGTTCGCTCGTCACGCCGAAGGCCCGGGTTCGATTCCCGACATGTGTGAAGCCAATTTCTGGTGTCCCCCGCCGTGATATTGCTGGAATATTGCTAAAAGCGGCGTAAAACCATACTCACTCACTCTAAAGAAGGATGCAGATAAAATACAGTGTGTTCAGTGCAGGAATTCTGACAAGGACACCTAAGTACATCCAACACATCACTCCGATATTGACTTATCATGAACTACATCCAACAAAGAGTGCAATTTAATCTACTCACTCTGGTTTACAAGGCAATGCATAGCTTGGCACCTGCTTACTTACAGGAGCTGAAAGTACCACACAAGCCTGCACGTTCTCTCCGATCAAAGATCATCTGCTAGTGGTGCTAAAGTCACATACCCAACCATATGGCGATAGGTCATTTCAACATGCTGGCCCATTGCTATGGAACAATTTGCCACAAGAAATCAGAGAAGCATGAAATCTGGCAAACTTTGAAGAGACACTCAACTTGGCTCAAGGCCTGAAGATCCGGGGTAGAAAAGGTCTTCAGCAACCCATGCTTGTCTACTCCCGTGAAGATCCGGGGTAGAATAGGTCTTCAGCAACCCATGCTTGTCTACTCCCGTGAAGATCCGTGGTAGAATAGGTCTTCAGCAATCCATGCTTGTCTACTCCCGTGCAGATCCGGGGTAGAATAGGTCTTCAGCAACCCATGCTTGTCTACTCCCGTGAATATCCGGGGTAGAATAGGTGTTCAGCAACCCATGCTTGTCACTCCCGTGCAGATCCGGGGTAGAATAGGTCTTCAGCAACCCATGCTTGTCACTCCCGTGCAGATCCGGGGTAGAATAAGTCTTCAGCAACCCATGCTTGTCTACTCCAGTGCAGATCCGGGGTAGAATAGGTCTTCAGCGACCCATGCTTGTCTACTCCCGTGCAGATCCGGGGTAGAATAGGTCTTCAGCAACCCATGCTATATCCGTGTTCGTTATATCCCTGTTCTACTGTATATTTTTGTTATATATTGACATAGGCATATTCACCTTACTGTCTTTTCCGATCATGCCTTTCAGCAGTTGGTCACTTGTCTTTGTCGCTATATGTCGGAAAACATGACTATGCGATGTCCTTGAACATACATCAATCCACAACTCTTTCTATCAGCCCTACGACTACAGTCATTTAATGCCTAGTGCTTAAAGAGTTCGCTCTTCAAGCCGAAGACCCGGGTTCGATTAAGTACAGTGTTGGTGTCCCTGTTGTGATGTTGCTATAAGTGGCTCAAAACATATTCACAAGGACAAATACATTTTTTTACAAGTTCATCTGAATCACGGCGTCTTTTACTGAGTCTTTTCTATAATAATTATCCCCGGAATCTTTCCTTACCGAGGTTCCAAAACACCAGTAACAAGCCAAACTCTTTGAACCCGAAATGTCAACAACGGACAATGCATTGTACACATGCACACGTCACCAGAAGGATAAAACGTCCTTTTAAAACTTTGGTAACGGTGATTTTCTCAAAAACATATGAAATAGATCAATCTAGTAAAGAATTAATCAATATGTTCAAGAGACGTGCTTTTATCTAAATATATTTAGTTGGCCACATTGATAAAAGACAAACAGATCGATACAGTGTAAAGGGTAAAGGATGAAGGTGTCGTGAGGACCTTGTACATGGCTGACATGGCATCACAGTGGTGGCGTACTACCGAGTGAGTGAGTGAGTGAGTGAGTGAGTGAGTGAGTGAGTGAGTGAGTGACGAACAGATCGATACAGTGTAAAGGGTAAAGGATGAAGGTGTCGTGAGGACCTTGTACGTGGCCTACATGGCATCACAGTGGTGGCGTACTACCGAGTGAGTGAGTGAGTGAGTGAGTGAGTGAGTGAGTGAGTGACGAACAGATCGATACAGTGTAAAGGGTAAAGGATGAAGGTGTCGTGAGGACCTTGTACGTGGCCTACATGGCATCACAGTGGTGGCGTACTACCGAGTGAGTGAGTGAGTGAGTGAGTGAGTGAGTGAGTGAGTGAGTGAGCGAGTGACGAACAGATCGATACAGTGTAAAAGGTAAAGGATGAAGGTGTCGTGAGGACCTTGTACGTGGCCTACATGGCATCACAGTGGTGGCGTACTACCGAGTGAGTGAGTGAGTGAGTGAGTGAGTGAGTGAGTGAGTGAGCGAGTGACGAACAGATCGATACAGTGTCAAGGGTAAAGGATGAAGGTGTCGTGATGTCCTTGTACATGGCTGACATGGCATCACAGTGGTGGCGTACTACCGAGTGAGTGAGTGAGTGAGTTAGTGAGTGAGTGAGTGAGTGAGTGAGTGAGTGAGTGAGCGAGTGACGAACAGATTGATACAGTGTCAAGGGTAAAGGATGAAGGTGTCGTGATGTCCTTGTACATGGCTGACATGGCATCACAGTGGTGGCGTACTACCTCCTGAGTGAGTGAGTGAGTAAATGAGTGAGTGAGTGAGTTAGTGAGTGACGAACAGATCGATACAGTGTCAAGGGTAAAGGATGAAGGTGTCGTGAGGACCTTGTACATGGCCTACATTGCATCACAGTGGTGGCGTACTACCGAGTGAGTGAGTGAGTGAGTGAGTGAGTGAATGAGTGAGTGAGTGAGTGAGTGAGTGACGAACAGATCGATACAGTGTCAAGGGTAAAGGATGAAGGTGTCGTGAGGACCTTGTACATGGCTGACATGGCATCACAGTGGTGGCGTACTACCTCCTGAGTGAGTGAGTGAGTGAATGAGTGAGTGAGTGACGAACAGATCGATACAGTGTAAAGGGTAAAGGATGAAGGTGTCGTGAGGACCTTGTACATGGCTGACATGGCATCACAGTGGTGGCGTACTACCGAGTGAGTGAGTGAGTGAGTGAGTGAGTGAGCGAGTGACGAACAGATCGATACAGTGTCAAGGGTAAAGGATGAAGGTGTCGTGATGTCCTTGTACATGGCTGACATGGCATCACAGTGGTGGCGTACTACCTCCTGAGTGAGTGAGTGAGTGAATGAGTGAGTGAGTGAGTTAGTGAGTGACGAACAGATCGATACAGTGTAAAGGGTAAAGGATGAAGGTGTCGTGAGGACCTTGTACATGGCCTACATTGCATCACAGTGGTGGCGTACTACCGAGTGAGTGAGTGAGTGAGTGAGTGAATGAGTGAGTGAGTGAGTTAGTGAGTGACGAACAGATCGATACAGTGTCAAGGGTAAAGGATGAAGGTGTCGTGATGTCCTTGTACATGGCTGACATGGCATCACAGTGGTGGCGTACTACCGAGTGAGTGAGTGAGTGAGTGAGTGACGAACAGATCGATACAGTGTAAAGGGTAAAGGATGAAGGTGTCGTGAGGACCTTGTACATGGCTGACATGGCATCACAGTGGTGGCGTACTACCGAGTGAGTGAGTGAGTGAGTGAATGAGTGAGTGAGTGAGTTAGTGAGTGAGTGAGTGACAAACAGATCAATACAGTGTAAAAGGTGAAGGATGAAGTGAGTGGCGTACTACCGAGTGAGTGAGTGAGTGAGTGAGTGAATGAGTGAGTGAACACGTCAGTAGGTCAGTTATATCACGGTGTGTCAGACGGATTTTTTGAAGAAGGCCCGAAGCGTATATGATGCTGACAAACCAAGGATTTTATTCATGAATATAAGCATCCTTGAAACCTGAGGTCTGTTCCACAAATGCTGGCATAAAAGTTATAATACTGTGATATATTAAGCAGTGGCATATTTCTAACTGAACTCATATGAGTGTACTGAGTCATTGAAGGCATAGAATCTGTAAACTGTGCTACTACTGATTCTAGGTATACTCTTATTTAGTTAGTATATTATTAATTGGACATGTAAATACCGTGTGTATGCATTTCTTGATGCTCAATAAAATCTATTGAAAAAATCTGTCCTGTACTTATTTTATATGGCTTTACATACTATTCAATGAGAAGCAAGATACAGGACACACCTTTTGATCTTGGGGATTCTCACCCCTGACTGGCTTTGTAACTCTAAACAATAGGAGGGGCTGTCGGGTAGCCTAGTGGTTAAAGCGTTCGCTTGTCACGCCGAAGACCCGGGTTCGATTTCCGACATGGGCACAATGTGTGAAGCCCATTTCTGCCGTGATATTGCTGGAATATTGCTAAAAGCGGCGTAAAACCATACTCACTCACCCACTAAACAATAGGAGTTGGGTAAGTAGGAAGACCCCGGCTGACCTAAAGCCAGATTAGGGGGTAACAACATAGCGTATATACAAACAACACCGCATGTCGAGTTGGCATGACTGTGGAAACTTTTGTTGCTAAATCTATGTTAATGATATACGGGTGTAACATAAAGGACAGAGCAGTATCTTTGGAAGCAGGTGGTGGAAAGGTTAAAGATAGTAGATAAATATATAAGACTCGTGGTATCTTTTTTCATAGATTAAATAAATTCAACATACCAAGAAAATCGTTAGCAGACCAGGCAGCAAAGGCCATTTATTTTATTCTATAGAAAAGCAGAGAAAGAAACCTTTCTTTTACATGCTAGATAAAATTGTTTAACCCTTCGGTTTGAAGATAACCCGATTCAACCCTGTGACTGACCTAAATGAAAAGAAACCGATGGCTTATCTTCAGTGATAAGACTGTTGTGTTCAACGTTACTGTCGTATTATTTCAATCCGACTCTCCTGGTTCTCACGACCTTATATGATGTTTAATACTATTTTTTCTGCAACTTTACTGCTCTGCTTGGCCCACGCAGGTAGGATATTTTAAGACATTATGCATCCATTTGTTTTCAAGTAGAGACATTAGTTCCATAATGGCGTACATATCTTCAACAGCCGAATGATAAAGTACAAGCTGACTGTTTTCCACACATTATTTGTCAGATGCTTTTAACAATAGTGAATATTAGTCCAGTGATATTATAACCATTTCCAATCTCATTAAAATCAGATCTTCTGATCTTCTTCGTCGTTCTGACGTGACCCCTAATGGGATGTCCTCATATCTTTGTTTAGCGGTAGCGAGAACTAAGATCTGATTTTAATGAGATTGAACCATTTCCAGCCCATTTCCAGTAGTGTATTCCACCAATATTCCAAACATAGTTTGTACTCATCTTCCAGCAATATGCTAGCAATACCATATAAATATGCTGAGCAGCAAAAGAAACGGAAGTCCATTCCACTCATGGACGCAAACACAACCACAAACAACCAAAACCATGCATTTTGCACGTGCAGTCATGATCTGGGGTAAACGCAAATGTAATTTCTCTCTAAGGTATCCTTTTTAAAAATATATGTCACACACTGGCTCAGTATGGATCGCAGAAGGTCTACAGTTGAAGTCAACGATGCCTAGACTGCCGCCTATGCTAAGAGGTGAAGTGAAATGGTGTTTAACGTCGCGTTCATGGTTATTGCACTTATATAGCGACGCGCATGGAGGTGTGTGTGTGTGTGTGTGTGTTTGTGTGTGTGTGTGTGTGTGTGTGTGTGTGGTAGTACTAGTTCGGACTAATGCCGAGTTTATAGTGTTATCTGACTGACGTACGGGGGCACGAGTGGCCCAGTCGTCTAAGGTGCCGCGATTCGCTGTGCAGAGTTGCGTCCCTTGGGTACGCCAGAAACCTATGATTGTGGGTTCGAAACCCGGTTCGCCCCGATTATGTTTCTAGGTTTGTCAGCACCATACCCGTGCTCGTGGGTTTCACCGAAGTGGTAAACATCTGACACTCACTCACTACTGACGCACCATTCCGCAAATTAACAAGACTACGCCACTCAGACACAGTTTACTGACTCTGAGTCGACCAGTCCTTTTTTAGCCCCTTATTGCATAGCGCCAGACAGGGTAAAAACAAAAATGCAAGTACCATCTTTTAACGTCTTATGATATGACGTGAGCAGGCATCAAACCAGAAATCTGGCGCTCTCTGGGCAGACGCTCTATTCACCATACCAAGGAGGCGGTCCCTATGCTAAGAGGAATGTCACTTGGAATATTGCAGGCCGGGAATTATGCAGAGACGTCTTTTCGAACGAATCTCGCCACCAGCTTTCTCATACTGACGATTGTGTACATAGTCGGCGTCGCCGTCATGAATGTTGAACTGATTTATGTGTCATTGAGGCTAAAACGGATGGGGTGGTGGAAGTGTGATGTTTGGGGAGCTGTCAGATCCAGCCAGGTCCAAACTTCCTGTCTTCCGACAACGTACTGCTATTTTTGTGTGTAAGGATCAAGTTATCCATCTCATGTTGCCATGTCTGTTCCACATCCTCAACATGAGTTGTTCCAATACAAGAGATGGTCATCACCTCCCCGGGTATGGCTCCCACTGTACATGATTGTCGCACATCCCCAGCTGTCGTTGTAGACAACAGTCTTCATACATCAAGGGTGTCGATGGCGTATCCTGCTCAGATCAACATTATTCCATGCCCATCATTCTCTCCTGATATAGGGGCGGCGGGGTAGCCTAGTGGTTAAAGCGTTCGCTCGTCACGCCGAAGACCCGGGTTCGATTCCTCACATGGGTACAATGTGTGAAGCCCATTTCTGGTGTCCCCCACCGGGATATAGCTGGAATATTGCTAAAAGCGGCGTAAATCATACTCGATCTCCCCGGATATGGCTCCTATTTCACATTTTCGGAACTAAATTAGGCGTCGCATTGCAGTGGGTAGACAACCAAACACACTTGCAGAATTGGAGCAGAGAGAGTATTTGCGTGGAACCACTTGCCCCAAGCATTCTTTATGACAGTTGTTAATTTGTTGGGCGACATCGTACCGCCTGTGTTCTAACCCAAGGCCTCCATACTAGCTATTGAGCGGATTGTCGTTTTTTCGCAAAGAAAGGGTATCTCGTTAACGTTCTGTTTTCCTTCGTAAACTTCTGTAATGCCGGTGTAACAACCACCTTCAGCTCTTAAACTGACAGGTATCTCTATTAATATGTCATTTGACACCATTTTGTTACAAAACGTGAAAAGAATGCCATACTTACTTTTCCTTTGCTGTTCAGTATATTATAAGCATTATCCACCAATATTCCTATATGCCAGCAATACCACGACATCGAAACTCCACGCCGGGCATCCCAGATTGTAACCACGAGGGGACCTGGCACAGTGTCGAGAACAAGAACATGAATGCTTGTGTGCTTGCCGAACGAACTACTAAGCTATCCTTTCGCCTATTATGAATAGAGGGGCGGTCGGGTAGCCTGGTGGTTAAAGCGTTCGCTCGTCACGCCGAAGATCCGGGTTCGATTCCCGACATGGGTACAATGTGTGAAGCCCATTTCTGGTGTCCCCCGCCGTGATATTGCTGGAATATTGCTAAAAGCGGCGTTAAACCATACTCACTCACTCACTATGAATAGAATATGTTTCGAATATACATAGATAACAATGAGTGTATTGCTCCAGTGTTTACGTACGATCGACTGAATCATAGGTTTCAGTTATTCTCAAATACTCTACTGGGCTCTGTTCCGCAAAGCGATCTCAGCATTATGACTGTCGTAACTCCCATCAGATGCAGTATACTTCTCTGCTTACAGTTGTCGCCGTTTGCCCGGACGGATGGACAAAGTATGACACGTCGTGTTACGCCCTGTATCAAGGCAAGACGGCGTGGATAGAAGCAGGGGTAGGGCTTTATACCACACGTTTTACTGAAATGCCGGCTGTTCGTATAAACCAGGCTTAATTGTTTGATTGTAATTCATCGAAACGTAGGTTGATTCACCAGACAGACGGATGGACGTACGGACAGACAGGCGGAAACTGACAGTCCGATGGATATTTTATTCAGTATGAGGCACATAATTCTGTCTAAAAGGACTTATTGTCTAAAAGTGTTATTTAAGTCAGAGTAAAATATTTCATCTCTTAAAATTCAGGCTTTGTGTTGTGAAACCTTGCAACGTTGAACACTTTTAAGTATCATTTTTAGAGTCACATGGTCGGACTGAAGATTATTTCAGCTCTTAAGTACACTGACAATTGTATACAAGTTCCAACCTCCCCATGATATCCCAAAACGTTCGCTACGATATCATCCCTCACAACTAACTTGATATTTTATTCATACATATTGACAAGGTATTTTACCAATTCAGTCGTTTTGCCGTGAGTTCGGGGGGAACCTTGCAACGCTGAACACCACGGACAAAGTGAAGAACGTCAAAGCATTCCTTAATTATGTAAATCGTGAGTATCTTCATTAGAATTGTGAATTGCAATATGTCGAATAGTGGCTATTTATACCTCAGTGTAGATTTGTGTTGAGAGAGCTGAGTATAACGTTGAGTTCAGTTATATCAGGGCGTGTCACATTAGTGTGGGTGGACGAAGGTGTCAGGAGGACCTTGTCCTTGGTTAGCATGGCATCACAGTGGTGGAATACGTCCTACTATGTGAGTGAGTGAGTGTGTGAGTGAGTGAGTGTAATGCCGCTTGTTGTACGAGTCGTTTACCCCGTTGGTGAATTCAACGCTAGTTCCGGTGCTGATAAGCCAAGAATCATAATCTGGGATTCGAACCAATAACACAGGTTAGGGGTTTGTGTTGAAATCAATATAATATTAAACGTCAACGCCAACGAATAATAGTCTTCATTATCTGCCGAAACAGAACGCATTGGGTGTAAAAGGCAACCTGAGTGACTAGACTGAGAACGTTGTCATTTAATACTTCATCGTGATCAGCGAGACAGTCACAGAGCTACAGAACATTCTCTACGTGGTGGACAAAGATTGCTGACATACGTAATCTTTTTCACATTCAACGCGATCTTGAAACGACGTTTTGGTCGTTGAGAGCTGACAAATATAGTACATGTGTTACTGTTACCTCTTTCTTTTGTTTAAAAAAAATGTTTTGGAAATGAAATGACTGGATATTAATGTTGACTATAATGTTTCCCAAATTTGACTTCATCAGTTTTTACTTAAATATTTTCTCCTGTGTAATTATTTGAATAATTATAATTTTGAATGTTAGGAATGGTTTAGGAAACTATCAAGCCACAGACGAAATGCACATGAGATTAGATTTAGATTTCTTGATTTGGACTCACTATTGAAGATTGCAAGGGTAGCTCAGTGCACGTGGCCACAGGTGGTCCGTGGTCAATTACGCTCTGCAGAAACTCGTGGGTACCAATCCCAGTCCCGTCCCAGGGTCAGCTGTGGGTGGGACGAGCAGCGACTCACAGGCGTGCTGGGTTCTTGATTCGAATCGTAGATCTGCAATGATAATGTCAGGATCATATGCTCGTGGGCCTTATCAGAGTGGTAATCGTCTAAGACCTGTACCACTTCGTGCTTTAGTACAACATTATACTACCACAACTGAAATATGACATAATATTGCATGTTCAGATAAAGCCAGTGCCTGGGTTGGCGGGAGTGACCTGAGGTCAGAAGGGATGTGGGTCTGGGACATTGACCAAGCCAGCTTTACAAACACCGACTGGTCTCCAGGGCAACCGGACTCAAAAGTAGGTGAAGAAGACTGTCTCCTGCTTCATCAACCAAGTAGCTTCAAATGGCACGACGCTACATGTACTTCTCAATACGACTATCTCTGCGAGAGAAGGTGAGGATCAATTGAAGATATCATAATTGTAGTTTAGTTTCTTACTTTTCAGACTGAAATATGCAGACAAATAGTTGTTAAATAAAACCGACAAAAACATTTCCATAATCATAATAAATATCCATCATTGTACGATTCCAACTATATCGTGAGCATGTGTTTATGAATCATTATCAAATTGTGATGAAACCAGGTGTTCGCAAAAACGTGGACCGTCACAAACACATGCAAAGCCAAGTCAACTGTTCTGCAGAAATATACACTGGAACAATTGATCAAAATAGGGAATTGTATTGGATATCGTTTTCGCCACTGATGCGTCAAATTTGGAAATATTCTCCACATGAATGAATGAGGGAATGATTTTCCAGCAATATCACTGCGGGGGCACTATCCACCACATGAAGGATGGTGGGTAATTTCTCCACCGTTTTTCTTTACATATTGTCAACAGCAAAGGTCACGTGATACTCTGACAACGCCAGACATAATAACACATTGATTGAATACCTCATATCAAGATATAACACATCTGAAACATTACTTGTAATAGATTGCAAGGTTCTTCTTGCTTAACCATCATCTATAGGAGGGTAAATCAAACAATTCCTGGCATCACAGAAAGCTTTGTTTCATGTTTGGTTTCAACACGTGTATGACCCTGTGGGGATATCGGGTTAGAGTCGGTCCCCACCAACCCGTGCTGGTTGTAAGAGGCGACGTTATAGACTCGCTGACTTGACGTATTTCGACAGCGTGATCGTTGCTCAAAATGTCAATCACTGGATTGTCTGCGTTAAACAAGCACGCACGCACGCACATACACACACACGTGTATGAAGGACATCATCTCTTGGAAGACGTGACACTAAGTTACATTTCTCAATTATTTGTTTACAAGATATTCATACTTCTGAAGACGATGAAAACATAATGAGAAATGAAAGGGATATGATTGCATTGTGGCTCTTTACAAATCTAATGCTAGAGGTGTAGAAATTCTCTTTAATAACCATGCAGGAGTTAGGATACATAGAGTTCACAAAGGTGAAGATGGAAACTTAATCATACCAGGCATTACGATTGAACCTAATTTTGACGATGAGTGAGTGAGTCGTCTAAGGCGCCGCGATTCGCTGTGCAGAGTTGCGTCCCTTGGTCACGCCAGAAACCTATGATTGTGGGTTCGAATCCCGGTTCGCCCCGATTATGTTTCTAGGTTTGTCAGCACCATACCCTTGCTCGTGGGTTTCACCGAAGTGGTAAACGTCTGAGACCTGCATCTCTTCGGGCTTTCCTCCCACATTAAGCTGACACGCTGGGATATAACTGGAATACTGTATAAAGCGTCTTTCAACCCAACTCACTCACTCACTCACTCAATTATCCATTAAATATACTCTATTTTAAGAAACAGTTTTATGACAGTAAGAGGAAAATCAATTTCACATGCCAGGTACTTGGAAAAGGAGGAGGGTACAAAAATGCAACTGCCTGCAGCTAAAAGATGCTATTACAGATTTAGAAGACAATGTAAGAAGACTTTCAAAACATAAGTGAAATAATGCAAACGCGCCTTTAAAAAAACAAACACGAAATTGTAGATCTAAAAGAAGAGATCAGAGGAATCCAAATAAGAAATAGGGTGAAGTGGCACAGTAAACAACGGTTATAACGAACTCAAGGGGACTACTAATTTTAGTTCGTTATAACCGTAGTTCGTTATAAGCATATATACAGCATAACTACAGCAAATAGTCGGGACCAAAAACGTAAGTTCGTTATATCCATCAGTTCGTTATAAGCGTGTTCGTTTTAACCGTATTTTACTGTATGAAGATGGTGAAAACTTAGAAAATAGAAATTACAATATTAACGTAATAAGAGTATTATAAAGGAAAACGGCGAAGAAAGTACAGATCGTCTCAAGATAACAGATGGACATGAACGTTTTTATAAGCAATTATATACAGCCACTGGCGATATAGACGATGACAGATGTTGCCTATTTCAAAATGTGTTACTTTAAATAAAAATACTTCGGAAATCGGAAATGGAAAAGGAATTAGAATTGAAAGAGATAGCAGTTTGAAAGTTAATGAAAATTTATAAGAGTCCGGCGGTCCAGACGGATATCTAGTTAAAGTTATTATTATTCTGGGAAGACCTGAACATATGGATATTGATTCTATAGATATTTCAAAGAAACTTAAAAATAATTCTATGAAAATAACCATGAACAGAGGGGTTATTATATTATCCTGAAGAAAAATTAACATAGACGCCTTCAGAAAAACTGGAGGAGACCTATATGTCTCTATATAATGCTCTGTACGAGATCATAAGTGCTTGCGTCACAAATTAATAGAATAAATCTTTAAATGTACTCATTCGTGATGATCAGGCCTGATTTATTCCTGGCAGATGCATAAATGAAAATATGAGGCTATTGTATGATGTTTTGGTTGAAATTAAAAAGCTAAAGAGGCAAGGTATATTGTTATTAGACTTTGCAAAACGTATTCGGTACAGTTTTCAAGCGTTTCAGAATGTTGGCGTTAGAAAAACTTGGATTCGGTAAACATATTAAAAAATGGGTCAATATTCTGATTTCAAATGCCACCTCTTGTATTATACAAAATGCACACGTATAATTCTTTTGCAAAAAACGAAAGGGGCTGTAGACAAGGAGATCCACTTTCACCTTTGTAATGTTTGTAGCGGGCATGTTAAATATTATGATAAGAATAAACGACAATATCCAAGGGATTACCTTAAATGACACTGAACGTGAATGAGGACATTATGCCGACGATGCTAAATTATTTCTTGACAGAATTGATGCCTACCTTGACGAAGCCATAGACACTTTTTACACAGTGTATGGACTCAAATAAGTATCGATAAAACTAAGGAAGTTTGGATCAATGGCAAGAAGTCATTCAACATTCAACAGATCTTTGGGTGATGAACACAAGAAAACGAACTGAAACAATCAAACATGTCCCAAATAATTCTTTCAAATTGAAGAAAACGAAATCTTATTGTAATTTACTGTAATTAACATATTGGCATTACCAATACTATTTCATATATTAACATCTCTCCAAACTCTGCTAAAATCTATTAAAGAGATAAATGATGTATTTCTTTAATTATATGGAATGATAAGAAGGATAAGATTAAATGAACGAATCTAATACGGAAATATGAAGATGGCGGACTCAGATTGTTAAATGTTAAAACTTTTATTGACTCCTTAGAGATATATGTTTTAAATAACACCTTTCCAAAAAGACAACCTATAACCTTTGTGGATTTGAGTTAAACTATATTTTTCGACTGGGTGCTAATATTAGGAAATATAATTTTTCAGGTGGACAGTACTTTTTGGAAATACATACTGAATACTTGGTCACAATAAACTGACGGCTATAAGAAGTTTAGCACTTTTGAAATTGCAAAAAAACACAATTTCAAACTAAAACAATGCAAAACACATGGTCCAAACACAATGCTCTATGCCGAAGCCGATACACGTTTGTTTTGTAGATAATGCGAAAAGGTGAAAAAGAAAAGCACTGATAAAATACCACCACGACTGACACCCGAACAACGCGATCGGTATGCCCTGGGTATGATCAGAGATAATAAATAAATGTTCTCTGGTATGATACAGAGACCACCTATGCCCACGTTGCTAGAACTTTTGGTTGCTCTCGTGTTGCTGTAACTAACCTGATGCAACGTCTCAGACAGACCGGACAGACATCAGACAGACCGGACAGTCATCAGACAGACCGGACAGACATCAGACAGACCAAGAATAAGCAGGCCTGTGAGTGAGTGAGTGAGTGACTTGGGTTTTACGCCGTTTTTAACAGTATTCCAGTTATATCACGGCGTGTCAGCTTAATGTGGGAGGAAAGCCCGAAGTGATGCAGGTCTCGGACGTTTACCACTTCGGTGAAACCCACGAGCACGGGTATGGTGCTGACAAACCTAGAAACATAATCGGGGTGAACCGGGATTCGAACCCACAATCATAGGTTTCTGGCGTGTCCAAGGGACGCAACTCTGCACAGCGAATGGCGGCGCCTTAGACGACTGGGCCACCCGTGCCCCCAAGCAGGCCTGTGAAGACCGGTACTTGCGTACTTTGCATCTCCGGATTCGGTTCCTGACAGCGACGTCATCAGCGACGAATGCCTTTGGTCATATGTTTAGTCGACAGACAGTGGCCAGGCGACTCGGGGCTCAAGAAAATTAGGGCTAACAGACCTTACAGAGGACAGTTATTGACATCGCAACATCGTCGTTAAAGATTGAGATAGGCCCGGACTGTACGCCGTTGGCAGTGACGTGACTGGCAGAGGGCCGTCTTCATTGATGAAAGCCGGGTCTGTCTTTTCAGAGCAGATGGAAGACAGCGTGTTTACCACCGAAGGCGAGCACGAACGGCGGCATGTTGTGTTCAGGGGTCGTGCCGTGTGGTGAAGGGCTTTTATGTTGTGGGCAGGAGTGAACACCGGTGTACCACTGGTCATCGTTAGCGGACATTTGACAGAATCATGATTGACTATCTGCAGCGAGTCAGGCTCACAATGGGCAATACTATGCCACTGAACATCGTCAGTTGTCAGAAGCAAAAGTCACGGAAAACCCAAGGCATGTTCTCCTGTAGACTAACATCTAGTCTCTGAAATGAACATATCGTACATAAAAAAACAGTTGTTCAGTTATCTTAATAAAAATATAATAAAAAGGAGCCCAGTGACTCTCTTCATTTTCAGATACTGCAGTGATCTAGACTTGCCAAACATTATAGACCTGCATGGGCTGTATTTGATATATATTTGTATCAGGGTCTGTAAGACAGACTAGTTCTCCTGTTTCAGCTGCAGCTTGTGTCTTATAGTAACTTCCGCCTGTTCCTTGCCTGCATCTCTTCCCTTGACTCCGATAACACCTGCGTGGAGTTGATTATCACCATTGAGTCAAAGGAGATTTTATTACAAACTAATCTAAGAACAATTTTGCTTCTCACAATTTTTTATGTGAGGCCATCACCCGTGAACACGCTCGGACTTTCGACTGCTTTTTGGCCAAAAATGAAACCATGATGTGGTTCCAGACGACAAATCAGCGAGTATTCAGACCATTGAGCACTCAGATTACATCGGCAATGTTTGTCGTGCATCGTGTGCATTGCCTCGCGGACTCTACTCTCCACACTGCATCGATGTCAGGCAACGGTAGGGTTCTCACAACGTTCGTGGGCGGATTAGGGTTAATTTGACCTCCATGACAACCCCAATTAAATTACCTGACTAAATATAGAGAAACGTCACTATTACCTCGCACAGCGGACGTATGTACATGCGTGTATTCACTGGAGATGGGGGAATGTTGTGTCTACAAACCCGTGAAGTACTGCCGAGAATCCAAGAGGAAACCACAGTATTGCGTTCCTAAAGTGCTGAAGTGTATGGTCCACGTATTCGTTCGGACATTAAGGTCGAGAATACTCTATTAATACGTTAAAACATTGTTATTACGAACACATTTTTACTAATTATGAATTGTGGGTTAATTAATGTTCATCGGTGATTTTAAGTATGTTCAGACATATTGTTTTAATTGAATTTCTCATTGTCACTGTTCTCGTTGTAGGTCGACCAGTGCCATATAAAAAAACAGTTTCAAGAAACAGATTAAACTGGCTGCACACTGTCTTCATGATTACGTCACTGTTGAGATTAAATTCACCGCCAATTAGTTTTTCACGATTTATTTATCTAACCTGTGAAGATCCGGGTAAGAATTGGTCTTTAACCATGCTTGTCGTAAAAAGCGACTAACGGGATCAGGTGGTCAGGCTCGTTGACTTGGCCGGTGCATGTCATCATATCCCAATTGCGTATTGCATCAATCATTGAATTGCCACGTACAGGCGTGATTATTTATAGACCGTCGTTATAAAGCTGAAGTAGTTTTTTAAATATTTATGCCTGTAAATAGTTTGAGTGAGTGGTATTAACGAAGCTTGGGGCAGTATTTCAGTTATTTCACAGCGAGTCAGCTGAATGTGGGAAAAATACCTTCCCTCTCGAGTGTACCCATAAATACTGTCATGTCTCTATAACGTTCATTACATATAAGCGACACTTTGACGTAGCTTTGAGCAGTATTTCAGTAATGTAACCGCGTGTAAGATTGATGCAGGAGAAAAGCCTCAAGGGGCGGGTCTTAATTGTTTTCATCTTCATTTTGTTTTCTTCCTGACACACTCCATCTATGAAAATAAAAATAAAATGGATACTATTACGTGAAAATTGCATATTTTGTCGGTATATGTAATGAATGTTAGTTGAGCGAGTCTGACAGAGACAGTACATTCCTTGACAAATAGTGTCCACAATCAGTGTCAAGTCCAACATTATCAAGCCACCATCTGTGACATGCCACGCATAGATTGCTGTATTGAAATACTTGGAATGTTTTACATAGGACAACATATGTATTATCATTGGCCGTTGAGAGTTGTTGTACGGTTTATAATGTTCAGAATAATAACATGTCTAGGCATCGTCTGTTGCATTTTATACCATGACCGTTGATAATACAAGAGTGAGTTGGAATTAACGCCGCTGTGAACAGTATGCCAGTTGTAACAGAAGTAATGTGATGGGAAGCCCGAAGTGATGCAGGTCTAAGACGTTTTCCACTTTGTTGAAACCCGGGTATGGTGCTGAAAAACCCAGAAACATAATCAGGGCGAATCAGGATTCGAAACCAACATAATAGGTCTTTGGCGTGCCATATAGGGGCGCAATTATCCACAACGACTTGCGACGATTGACACGGCAGGGCCACCAGTGCCCCTGATAATAAAAGAACTGGCTGGGGGTTGGTTTGGGGTTGGTTAAGACAGATTATTTTGTTCAGGCTGGCGCACTTCAATTATTTTCTCTGATTGGAAATGCCAAACGTACTTTTTCATCATTTTTTTGAACATATAATATTTTACAGTATATGGTTGCCCCCTTAGGTGGGTGAATCTCGCTGTGTTGACAACATACTTTCCTTCGTCTTTGCAAGCCTTCTGACTTGCATTTTTGTTTCGCTAAAGTCTACCATCAAATTGAGTGTCATCGAGGTGATGTACTGAATCAGGCTGGATACAGAACGGAGATAATCAGTATATAAGTGTAACGGAGCTCTGTTCCTGAAACCAGGGTGGCCTTTAACAAGAATAAAGTAATAACTGAAAACGTGTTGAAAGTTCACAGCTTTATTACTGTCAACTAACAATTTGTATCAATGGACGACACCAAAAGGATCTAATATCCCAATTTACACTCACAATGATCACTGATAACTTATACCAGAGCAAATACACAAGCTGATTAGCTAAGCAACTGTATAACCGTAATAAAAAAGTGTAGATAAACCAACACTTTGACAAGATAATTGCCAAGGTACTTGGACAGCCAATCAAAATCGGCTGTGACCAATTAACACCAGAGAGTTAAATTGATTAGAATTAACTCAACTTTCTAACGAGAAAATAACCTCGGCTGGGTTAAACAGGAGGAAATAAACACCGAGGGTCTATCCTAATATAAATCTCTTGGACAATAAAATAGACGAAACCCGCCTGAAGAGCTAAAGACTAAGGTCTCAGTCACTTAGGGCAAGGGAATTCTAAGCTTTCCAAAAATACAAGATACTTGACCTTCTTACTTATACTGACTGACTGAGTATGGTTTTATGCCGCTTTTAGCAATATTCCAGCAATATCACGGCGGGGGACACCAGAAATGGGCTTCACACATTGTACCCATGTCGGGAATCGAACCCGGGTCTTCGGCGTGACGAGCGAACGCTTTAACCACTAGGCTACCCGACCGCCCCTCTTACTTATAATAATGTAGCAAACATACATATATATGTATAGGAGATAACATATATCAAATCGATACATGATACAAATATGCGATTAAACAGCGAGAGAATAAAATTGACGGGTCACCAATTCTCTAACAATGAACTGCAGACACCGGAGTATGGCGGTCGCCGGACTTTGCCGAACGGTTTCGACTACGGACAGTTGAGGGAGAGGGAAGGGGTACGGTCACAAGACCATGACTTGACTTGAGACAGTTAGGCGCCTTCTTATGGTGGCCGAGAGGGGACATCGCTTTCTCACCTTCAATAACGGCCGCGATACAACGAGACGAGAAGGCGACAGCACGAGACGTGAAAGCGATAACGCGGGGCGAGAAAGCGATAACGCGAGACGAGAAAGCCATAACACGAGACGGAGAAAGCGATATGTATCGCTTTATCGCTTTCCCGCGGCCGTTATTGAAAGCGAGAAAGCTATATCCCCTCTCGGCCACCATACCTTATTGCTTGCACAGTCGTACAATGTCTTGTCAGAAGTACAAACAGGATGTCCACGGTCTGCACGTGACACTGTCATGCACTCCACGCGTTGCACGAGCTTCAATCAGGCAGCGATGATTGCAGTGAACCACAGTAACTTTTAATGAGCCCAACGATGTTTGTCACTGTTTATTCATGTCGTGTGGTAACACCTGTTGAATGCCAACCGTCATGTTAGGTAACAAGTGATTTTCTATTTCATGTCACGTGACTAGATACCGAAATGACCCTGGGACATCGGATTGGGTACCAATATGTAGGAGTTGTCCGTGTCTTGTCACATGATGTCCCCCGGTCCGTGAGAGGGTGAGTGTAAAATATACGTGAATGTATAGGGTTGTTATGTCAGATTAAATTATACATTATTCTTTAACATTGACCATTTTTCACATGCCTTCACTAATATTAATATTATTGATAATGACACGTTCTGTCGATCGGTGACATATTGACCAGACCATACATTATTTACTTTGATGGACAAACGTAAACCCCTGTGTGTCCTTTTTACGATCGGGGGTAGAATAGGTCTTCAACAACCCATGCTTGCCGTACAAGGCGACTATGCTTGTCGTAAGAGGCGACTAACGGGATCGGGAGGTCAGGCTCGCTGACTTGGTTGATGCATGTCATCGTATCCCAATTAGTAAGTGGATGCTCATGATGTCAATCACTGGATTGTCTAGTCCAGACTCGATTATTTACAGACCGCCGTCCTACAGCTGGAATAGTGCTGAGTGCGGCGTTAAACAACAAACAAACAAACAAACGGGTCATTCATTGTGCATACCTTGATGAGAAAACGTAAACGAGTCTCCCACCTGTATTCACTTAACCTTACACATGTTGATGAGGAACCATCGTACCATCGCATGCTATACCCACTTGCATACAATTACCTTATTTAGACAACGTAACCCATTCTCAGTGACGTTGTGAACTGATGTAAAACACAACGTAAACTCCTACAGCAAGACTAACGACAGTCTCTGAAAACACATAATTTTAACAGTAACAAACTTCATTTAAATTGGAAAGGAGCCCCAGTGAGATGGGAGATTCAGAACATGGACGTTTGTAAAATCTAGACTATAGCGTTACAATAAGGGCTGGGTGGGGGAAACTGATATGGCCCAGGGACTGTAAGATACAGCCAAACCATTACAATCAATACAAAAAGACATTTGGTTAAAATCGGAAAGAAACAGCCCGGTTCCCTGGGTATGCTGCGCTGGCGCTACACTGTGCGTTTTCTTTCAGACTGGGAAAGAAAACGCACAGAGAACTTACCGCCGTTATCTATGTGTCTATAATGTACATATTGAATATGGTCACATGTGTTTTATCACAAGCAAGCCAGACACAAAGACAGTTCAATTTAGTGGATTTGAAAGCCTTTCACATTATGACAAGTGATTGGTAGCCCACATGTAAAAGCGTTGGCTGATCACACCAAATACACGGGTTCGATTCCCCGAATTGGTATGCTGACTTTTTCAGGCCATGCATTTCCCCCATATTAATATGTATGGGCAATTGTTAAATCGGTATAAAAACCAGACTAACTCATTCCTTCACGAGAGTGGCTTTCGTGGAAATCTGAGAATCACGGAGAACAATGGAGGACCCTACAATGTGATCTGTCTCTATATGATTGATATGTTTCTTGCGGTGGTAAACCCATTAACTGAAACAAGAACTTAGATAAAGCGTCGGAAGTGGGAACTCTGTTATTCGTCAATAGTAACGTGACCTTCGTTTGAAAGGTAATGCTATGTTGTTTATTGCCGTGGTAGAGGCATTCACTGTAGTCAGTTTGTTCAGACTAATGCCATTTGTCAGTAGATACAAAATAGATCGTCTCAACCGGAAGGGTACCGACAATTTAGGTCGGTGTAGACAATGGACCGAAGTAATTTGATTTTAGCCCTGGATGTTGCTTCCCTAGCTCTCAAGATACGAAGATCGAAGATAAACGATTTTTTAAAACTGATGATTTGTGAAAAAGGTAAGCATCGACTTTGAGGATTGAGTTGTGTTTAACGCCGCTTTGAACAGTTATATGGCGGCGTGTCAGCTTAATGTGGGAGGAAAGCCCGAAGTGATGCAGGTCTCGGACGTTTAACACTTCGGTGAAACCCACGAGCACGGGTATGGTGCTGACAAACCTAGAAACATAATCGGGGCGAACCGGATTTCGAACCCACAATCATAGGTTTCTGGCGTGCCCAAGGGACGCAACTCTGTAAAGCGAATCGCGGCGCCTTAGACGACTAGGCCACCCGTGCCCCCTCGACTTTTGGTAAAGTAAGTAATACTGTTTCTTA